ATTCTCATGAGAGATCTGATTTCGTTCGAAAGGATCGAAAAAATAAATCGATGTAATCCAAATTTTAACACAGTAAATTTGGCCTGATTTTTATCACATATTATATACACGTTGCCCGGTGTGTTATTATTTATAAAAAAAATCGCTTCAAAAGAGATCACTTTCTTCATCTAAATTTTTCGCATTCGTGGGCCTCGTACGAGAAGTGATTGTAAGAACAATTCGTGGAAATAAAATTTCATTCTTTTGAAATATACATATATACATAATATATAGGAATGGACAAATTTGCCTGCCTCGATTGGCGAGTTTATCTCAAGTCATTCTCGGCTTTGATATAGCGTTATTGCAAGTAAGCGTTATTTAGGGGCGAATAATATCGTTTTGAATTATGTTCTAAAATGCCGTGATACGTATACATGCAAAACAGGTGAGTCATTCTTGGCGTTGCATATATCCGCACCAGATTGATGCACCCTTATCACAAGGGATTTAGAAATGGATAATATGGTCTTGAATCATGCTTTAAAACCCATATCATTGAAGAAATTGATCTATTGCTTGTGATATGTATACATGAGAGATAGGCAATTCCAAATTAAAGATGTCTTGGCACGCTGATCTATCTATCAATTTCTATTTTAAGTGTTTATAAGTGACCTAATAAGTATACATGTATGTGCTGAGTTTTAATATAAATTATGTTTTAACCATTATAATGAGATTTGTGTATCGATTATGTTCATATTCCTGATCAGTTGCAATTAGCTAAAAATGCATACAACGGGAGTAAATTCCTGTTTTGTGATGCGTTCGCGGACGGGGCCGGGCATAATTATATCGATCTATTGATTCTATCGTCTATGGTTCAGAACTTAACTGAAAGGCTGCTTTGTCGTTGTTAAATTGCTAATGCGTATCCCAATGATCGTGACGACGATAGCTACCAATGAATTGTCGGTTTCAATATACATTTCAACCTATAATAATGATAATGATAATATGTAACATTGGCAAATTGCATCATTTCTTTACATCATTTTTTACAACAGATTAGAAGTAGAACTGAAAATGCAAAAAAAAAAAAAAAGTTAAATATATTATATTCATTCGGCTGTGATCGGCTGTGTCTTATTTAAAAAATAAAAACAAAAAAAAAAAAAAAATGTATAAAATTGAAATTTTGATTGATTACTCTATACTTTTGCTTGGGCATAGACGGTTTTTTCCACTTTTGTACATTTATTGCCGTCTCACTCATACAAGCGAATATTATTATTTTTATCGTTATTATGATGTCCTTTAATGAATCAATCCATAATAATACCATACGAATAAAGGATAAATGATCTCGATGAACTTTCTCCTAGGTATGGGAAACGTGTTTTCGACGGCATCCCGCATAAAGTCTTACTTTTAAAATGTTTTTATATGAAAAAAAAAAAAAAAAATTTTTTTTTTTTTCAATTTTAAAACTTTTTCTCGACAAAAATCGCTAAATAATAATTGTAATATTTTGTCATATCAAATTAATGTGAAAAATTTGAACGGAATCGGTCATCCCACATACAAGTAAGTCTTTAAGTTCTAAATTTCAATTCATGAAAATTGATTCTTAGCAATAATTTGATGTAAAAATTAATTTTATCAAATTTGAATCGATATCGGTTGAGATTTTTCGGGTCCCTAATATAAACGTGTTCCTATGAGCATATGCACATAGTAACCAAATATAATTTTTGATGAATGTATGATGAAAATAAATGAAACATTGTATTAGACGAGAATTGAAGAATTACAAGAACAAAAATATCAAATATCATAATTAATTTAAATGTAAAATGCAAAAAAATTACCCTTTTATATAACTATCGTATAACCTTTCTTGAAGAAGAATAGCATTATATAAAATGATTTGATCGCGTGACCTTAACACACCTGATATATGCAAATTGTAGCCAGCTATTGGCTTCATTTCCCTTTGACAATCATTTCTAAGTAATGCCTTGTGGTTATGGTATTTATTTCGGTTATGGAGCTTATCTCTCCATTTAGTAATAGAAATTTCACCCTTTCTACGCGAAATATGCTCACCTTTTGTTCACTTTTTTGAGATAACTGCCTGCCTGCCGGCCTTTCGATTAGCTTTTCGATTAAGATGCAGTGTTTCGGTTGAGTGAGTTGTAAAATTTAGTAACTTATTCTACGCTTCACTAAAATTTGAAAAAAATGGCTATATATAAATTATGTCCTCTATTGAACTAGGGCTTCAGGGTCAATTAACGTAAAACAAGATCATTTATTTTCGATAATGTATTAGGGATGTCCCCCCGTCAACCGTGATAAATATTTATGTTTAAGACCTAACCGTCACTAATAGTCAACCTGTAGAATTTCATTCCATATTTGGATTTATTCCTTTTCTTGTATTGTCGGAAACTTAGTCGACCTAGAAATCATGACGTAGATTCATCTAAGAAATATTTTTTTATCTGGCGAATATGCTCTTTTTGAAAGTTTCATCAAATTGGGTGAACGAATGGAAACACTATCTACATCATCATCATTCACATATCGTAATAATTGTTGAAAACAGTGATCTTGCAAAAACCATAATCCGAAAAAATGTTCATAAAACGGTTTTTAACGGTTTGTCTGAATTTAATTTGCGATCTCTATCCGCCTGAGTGGCCGAAGGCGAAGAATCTCGACTAGCAACTCAATGGTCGTGGGTTCGAATCTCAAGTGCAGTTGTTTTTTTAATAAAAGCCGATAGCCTTAGATGCTAGTGCTTTTAAGAGTTTAGTCTTAGAATTTATTTCTTCGGCGAAATTAATAATAAAAATAATAATAATAATAATTTGCGATGCTTGTCTTGTAGTGGGCAGCCCTTTACTTTCGAACAAATGTCTGTCGCAGTAATACATTTTTAGATGGTCTAACTTTTCGGAAAAAATTTCATTATTATTATTAGCTTGTGAACTTGAATGCGAATCGACTACAACAACAAAAGAAAGCCCGACAGAATAGATTACATGAAATATTGGCCAAGTTTATCAAGTAAATTTTAATTCGAAGTATAATTGAAATAAAATAATTGTGTCACACACACACCTAGCGAAAATTATTCCATCATTTATTATTGAGAAAAAGAGTGAAGAGTTTATTATATTAAGTGTTTGCAAGAGTTTTGTTCAGCGACTTTTACAGGTAAATATTACAAAGAAATGGGAAACACCAGTGTACAGTGTAACGATTGAATCCGATGGTTCTGACTTTTCTCTGCATAAAACAACAGTTTTCCATTTTATGTTATGGATTTATTCAGCATACGCTGACGCTAATTATGGAGCGCTCAAAATATTTCCAAATGCATTGCTATTCTGCTGCAAAAGCCCAAACACACACAAACACACGCACACATTCAGAGGCTTATGGTGACGCTGTTCCATCATATCGCAACTGCCATTTTTAGTTTCAATGACTTAAAAGTGGCGATAGGAATTGACTGAAACCGCTATGTTTTGCTCACTTATTCCAAGAGTTGTCCAAGATACACTCCTGCACCTCGAAAGGAAAGTTGCGCCAGACAACGTGCACTCACTAGACAAGGCACCTTCTGATTGCCGCTTGTTCAGGTCAATGAAGCATGGCTTTGGCGGTCACGAGGGTTCGCAAAGTTGAAAAGGTACGAAAATGGGTCGGTGAATAGATTGGATCGCCGCCAAATCAATATAAATACAACATTATAAAATGTTATGGAAAATGATGGAAACTATTCTAATTAATACATATTGTACCAATTTCAATGATCAACATTCTTGCAAACACCTGGTACACCATAATGATAATAAATTCAACAGAGAAATACATTGTTTTAATTGTTTTATGATGCTAAGAATATAATAGGACATCGTTTGCGTCTACAAGCACACGCAATGGATATCTATAGCCGTCACTTAAATCAAAGGATTAAATATATGCGCCTCTTACGCGCCCCCTTTTTTTTTTTTTTTTTTTTTTTTTTTTTAAAGCTTCATGTGAAGATATTTGCACGAGCTAAGGCTTAAAGGTACCTGAGAAAATAAGTGTTTGAGGATGGTGGATGGCTTCGGAACGAGTATGATTTTCATGTCAGACTTTATTGTTATAAACTCTAAATTACCTTAAGTAATATGGGTGGCTTTATGATAACGAAGCCATAGTTTCAGATAATGTATTTTTATTGAATCTTATAAAGTATAGAAGAAAATAGTTTAATGCGTCAAATTGTTTAATTAGTTTTTAGTAAACATTAAAAATGTCATGCTTGTCGCCCGCCCTATACACAATTATTTAAACATTCTCGTGACAAGTACATATTTGTTCTTACTTAACGAATGTTTGATACATATATACCGTCTTTCTTTGTATAGCCTTGTATAGCCTTGTTAAGGGTTCGTTACAAGACAAGCACTAATAAACCATAATATTTATTCGATAAGTCCCATTGATAACAAGAATATTATGATATCATATTTTGAAAACATCAATCGCTTTGCAACGCATAAGTATATTTTCGAATTCGACGTTAGCACAACACACAAAAGCACCAAAGGTAAGGCAAGAGAGAGAGAGAACATTGGTAAAGCAGTAGTGAAGATGCAGTTTATCCTCCTTTCTAAAACTATATCTACTTAAATTTTATACGAGTTTTGAACGCGTATCCCCTTTGTTTTCCCGCATTGAATGTCGTTATAATTGCAAGGAACGCTTTCGTAATTTAAACGGATGCAATTGAACCAAAGATTTTATATAAATTTGATACGAACGTCAAAGAAAATATTTTTGTATAGTTGGGTAATGTTTACAAGATTTTTAATAAAATATTACATCTACAACGAAAATATTGAAAAAAAAAACAAAAATAAATAAATAAAAAATAAAAAAAACCAAAAAATGATATGAAATGAAACGAACAAAAACACAACAAGACATCGTATAACAGCACAATGACTTACCGTAATGTTGGCATGAATGTCATAACGTTTGCCATTTTTGCCAATAAACCGACATGTAAGTTCGTCTACACTCGAATTGAGAATTTGAAAACGTTCGTGATTTTTGGTGAAGATCTTCTCCAATGTTTTTATTTCCAATTTCAATGTATTCAGACACGCCATGGTGTCCAAATTATGGAGGAGTAATGCAAAAACGCAACAAAGCACAGAGGAGCTAATGCTACAGTTTTGTTGCTACTGATATTGGCGATGATGATGAGAACGATGGCGACGATGGTTGACGAAGTAACTCAACTTGATAAAGTTGAAAAAAAAAAAACAAAACAAAACAAAACAAAAAAAACTCCAGCGACAAAGAAGTGAAAAAGGAAAATGGTTAATAGTGGATTAATATTGATACTGGTTGCTTGTTAATGCCTTTTTTTTTTTTTATTTATTTTTTTCTTTATTGCGTTTAATGGAGTTGGCCAAATAAAAAGAGAAGAAAAAAATTTGCTGTAAAAATGCTGGCTCCAAGAGAAAATCAACTGGATTTGTTTTGTTAATATGTGAACGCGATTCGAGCGATATTATTTTTTGTTGTTGTTGTTGATGTTGTTGTTGTTGTTGTTGTCGTCGTCGTCGTCGCTGTTGTTGCTGCTGTATATACTTTTGTTTTTCTTCACAGACCTCGTACGTACACACACTCAGCCAGTCTATACAACTATACACGATTTTCTTCCTTTGATTTTGTTCGTTTTTTCCGTTTACTCCATTAGAGATCACACATATGCATACGTAAACGCGAGCAAAATAATGCCCATCAATGCTACGTCAACGCTTTTTACTAAATTTTCCCCTCTAGGATTGCTTTTAATTTTGTTTTTTTTGTTTTTCTGTTTTTATTTTTTCTTACAAAACCCACACAACGCGCGTAGAGAGTGCAAGTACTAGCCCGATTAAGCGGTGACAATTATAGTAGTTTTATAGTAATTATTATTACATTTAGTTTACTGTAAAGTGCGTTTTGCTTTCTCTTTGTCTCCGTCAAGCATTATTCACCCTTTGTGTTGGTTGTATATATCACCTATACATAAGCATATAATAACTGTAGTTGTTTGGGAGCCTTACACAGAAAGCGAATACAAATAATATTCACACCGCTGTACACCGTTGTTGTCAGTTATGGCTCCACTTTTACACACACGCACGCACGCACGCACGCACGCAAACACTCGTTCACGTTCATACAACACATCGATCGTCTAAAAATTGAAATAACACTTTTCTTTGTTTTTTTTTTTTTTTTTTTCTTCTTCCTCTTGTACTATGCTACTATAAATCTGGTAAGTTTTCTGGATACAATAGAAAAAAAAAAAAAAATTAAATAAAATTCAATCGAAATATAAGTCAAAATTCCCGGATTTAGTAGATATAACAACAAAACTTTCTATGACACCGAAAATGTTTTCGATATTAATATTATTAATAAAATTCACTCGAAAGCTAACAATAGGCCAAGGTTTTCGGTTACAATCGTCTAATAACTCCACAGATGAGTATCCGCAGTCTTTCACATACGTTGCTTACATTCTGTCAGACTTAAATTTTATCACGACACAAATACGTTCGTTCGTGTTTTAACAAAATTTATATAAAAATAATTTCACAATTAACAAAAAGTTTACGATTTGATTTTACGATTTTCGCCAAGACAGTAAAATATTATTATACAAAAAAAATAAAAAAAAAAATATGACAAAAAGGACAGAAAAAGAAACATAGAAAAGCAAATTAAAATCAAATCAATGAAACGAGCACACTTGAACTCACTGACGACGATAACTATACATTATGTACGTGTGTGCGTGTTTATGTGTGCGCATTAAATACACTAGCACCAACAACACGAATTAAACGAAAAAAAAATGGTTCTGTCTTATGCTTGGCTGGTCGTAAAAGTATTTATTTTTCTCTTTCATAAGTTTTTCTTTGCTTTTTTTTCTTTTCCCATATTATCTGTATTGACTATTGATTATAATTATAAACACGTTAACGGCATTTTAACGGCTTAGTACCTTTTTATTTTAGTTACATCTATTTAAAAAAAAAAATTAGACATATGAATACGAAAATATATCACTTTTGCCGAACGATGGCTACTAGCTACACAACGTTTTTCTTTTTTCTCTTGTCGAAGAGAACCGATTATTTATTCTAGCGAAAAGCGATTATTTTGTTTAGTAATTGTCGTTGACCTATGTAGTTGCCACCTACTATCGTAGGTAATCGCCACCTAGTACCGTATGTGGTTGTTGTTTTACAATTTTAATTTTTGTTTACATTATAAGAACATACGTGGTTGTTTTTTTTTAAATAAAAGCGCATCTATTTTGTTGTTGGAGAAGACCATTCGCAATTTGTTTATTAATTATTATTTCTTATGGATTTATATTTATTTTTTTCTTAATTAATAATTTCTTATATTACATATGAATTTTAAAATAAAATTTTGTATTACATTTAAATTACATTTATAAAATTTGATCAAAATTCATGTTTTTAAACTTATTATATGGTTATATACGCAAAGAAATCTACAAGCTGGCATAGCATGCTTTTGAAATTAATCTTTCAAATGCCACAACGAAACTCTTAAATGTAAACTTTATGAATCATGTAACGTGGCGTAGCATCAAAGTTGACATAACTGTTATTAATTTTAACTGCTTCGTTAATTAATAAATAATGTAGTTATGGTTTAGGAAAACGGACGCTTTGTTTGCATATTCAATAAAGATAAAAGAAAAATTGCAGCAACAAATAATTCATAAAATCATCGACAATAATAATGAAACATTTATGGGAATAGAATAAACCTCAGAGTAAATATGAAATTAATATAATAATGTAAGAATCAAAAATATAAATTGAAATTTGTTAATATATGAAATGAAAACAATTAAATATAATTAATATTATATTGCATCTGCATAATATATTTTAAACCGCTGAATTCGCAATTTCTAAAAGCCAAAATAACCGAAATTTTATTATTAAAATAACTAAGAAAATTATATGCGGCCGCGATAACATTAGCAAGCAAGGTTGCCAAGTGTCGAATGATAAAATTGAAAGGGCATATAAGCACTTTGCACTGACCCATCCTGACTATTATTAATGCCAGATTATTTATAGGCTAGCCATACGACCAACAGTCAATTGATTCAGTACCCTATAATAAATTATATATTCCGTATCCATTTTTTTATAACATAGATAAAAAGCGATTGCAAAGCTTGTCTAAATTAAAAAAATATTCGAAACCAAAACCTTCACTCAGTAATCTTTAATAGCTTTAATAATTCGGTTTAATATCTTCTTTTATTCTTTTTTTTTTAACCAAGCTTAGGCCAGTGGCTACTTTGACAGCTCCGTCCGCAAACTTTAATAACTAGTTGATAGAAAATTCGTTTTACAAGTCATTGATGAAAGTCTTTGATCTTACAGTTTACAGTTATTTTGGTTGCGCAGTATTAGTAAACTGCAGTCCACCTTTATATCTGATTTAGGCTAATAAAACAAGAATACATTTGCTAGACTTTAATTTTCTCTCGCAATGTTTTTGGTTTGGAAACAACTATCGATTATGAATACATTGATTAGATATTTCCAATTTATTAGGAACAGATTTCTATGGGAGAAATGGTAGCAAAAATGTTGATGGCTTAAGAACATTAGTACGTAATAGGTCGATAAGGTAAATTTTCTTTCGGTTTAGACCAATTATTAATTTTACAATTACATGTTTTAGACTTTCCTACGATTTTATAGTTTATTACTCTATCTTCTTATTTAACATTTGTTTCAGATAAGTTTTCAAAGAACACGTTTATAAACACTATATAGCAAGTTTGGTATTACGTTATCGCAAATTTAAAAGGACAGTGTTACCTACAATGCTTCATGGCTGTTGCATAAAAACGATGTTCAATACGAATTTAAACAAATGACCGGATCTCATCTGTTCGAATGATATCACCTTCACCATGTGGATCCAATATTGTCGTCCTCTTTGTAAAATATCAGCATTTAAGCACACAAGACACAAACAATTATAATAAAATTCACTAACCCTCTCACATGAGTAACAAATAAATTAGCTGAGTACAATAGATCTTCTAAGTCGCGGTACGGATTGCCCACGCAATTAATAATAATAAATAGCTTATGCACATTTGCGTTGTTCCACCACAATTAGCTGTAATTAATATTCTGTAAACAAAACTAACATAAGAAGTGATAAGGAGCGAAATAAAAAACAAAAAGGAAACGCATGCGTTTAAGCAATTATTTTATAAATAGTTCCCGTTATTGTAATTGTTGAATTTTGTATTCTGTGAAAGTTTGAATTTTTGTTTACATTTCATAAGGGACGTCGTAATTGTTTGGATTGGTGTGTGCACATATTTACGTTTATTAAATCGGTTTAGCTTTCGCAATTACGAATTATATACATCCTTAGCGATTATAGCTTTTAAACAAAATCATAAAACAACAAAGCCAGCAATGGCTGTGTAATAAAAGAAATCTGCTACTAATTTTACATGAATGGTGCCGAGTTTGGGGAAAATTAAAGCGAGAGAGAATAACAACGCAAAAATGCGAAGAAATATATTATGTGTTTTTTTTTTCGAAAAACTATAACACAGCAATCCAAATGTTAATGTTTTTATTGAAATTTTCAAAAATATGTAATTATATATGCTTCTATTATAATCTCTGACCATGATGTAGGTACGCCTGTTCATTATTTTGTTTATTTAATGAAAAAATTCAAAATAGACATGAAAGATGGTTTTTATATCGATGTTTTCTTTACGTTTATCTATTATTTTGAAAACACTTCTCTGCAGAAAAACAAAGTAGAAAAACAACGAAAGAGAGCGTTTACTCGTTGGTTCCTATATGTGTTCCTTAATTTCATTTTCTCCTTTTGCTACTTTGATTCCAATAAGCATGCTTCAATATATTTTATTCATATTTGTGAGAAGAACATACGCCAGGATACACTGACGGTGAGACAGATGCGAATTGTTTGTTAATCGAAGTCCTACAATATGTTTTTCTTTTTTTTTTAATCCTTAAAGTATGAAGTTGGAATTTCAAGTGGAGCAAAGTATGCGGAAAAATTTTCTTGCTCGTAGGCTTGACAATATAAAGGTCGGGAATCTCTGCGGTATGATGGTTCTAAACACTAATGAGCATACATAAGGATTGCAATTGGTATTCTTATTAGTATTGTTTAGGAAACTGGTATAAGAAACGCTCTTAATATGAATAAAGCAATTATTTTTTTACTTGCTTTCGATTCATTGATTATAAATTACTGATTTATTTCTATTTAGCTCTACGGCAAAGTAAAGACATTTCAAATAAAAATCAAGTAATTGCATGAGGAATATGCTTTATTCGAAACAACGGTTAGGAACTTGCAATAAGTTAACGGAAATTGCTACATCGAAATCATCGATGGCCAATTTCGATAAGCAAATGATAACACAAAAAAACAGACGATAATCATCGTTACACCAATAGCTTATATATTCATAATTTTTTTCGTGGAATAATATTTCTCAAGCAGGAAGATGGAATGAATAAAAATGTTGGAATTAGTATAGCTAAGGAGATGAATTACGCGTTATGTCCGGACGACATAGTTCAAGCGGACTTTTTGATGGATGATGTGTTTATTAAGTTTAAGACTGAAAGTATAAAAAATAATTTCAAGCGCGCTTTCAGTCCATATCAAAGGTGAATGGCAATTCGCGATATATGGTTTGCAATTGGTAGTGATTTAACTAAGGAACCAAAACTGGAATGGGGGTACATAGCAATTTAGATTTGCTTTGTTATCGGTTTTAATTCAACAGAGAAATTTGATAGAATAAACTTAACTTTCAAACTATGAAACTCGTTCACATATATAAACTTATATAATATGCAGAGTGATTAATGGAGAATGATTAATAAATTTACGAAATGAAAGCGATAAGAAGAAAGCTCTCTAATAATACGATATATTAGAAATATTATCGCCAGCCAACTGTGGCAGTTATTATCCGCGGACGTTATTTGTTCTGTAAACGTTTATTTGTACTTCAATTTTGCACAAAAGTTATGCAAGATAATATTTCGGCGAAATATCTTATATTCACTATATACAGAGGTGTTTGATAGCAAGAACGATATTGTTTGTAACTTGGAGTGATAATGTATTAATCTATAGCAAATGGGTTTTCCAATGGAAAGAAATATTAATAAAATTAAATAAATGATTTAAGTAAATTACCCTTAATTGTAAAAAGAGAGAGGGGCGCCTTTCTACACCCATCACCGAATGATAAGCGGTATATTCATTTTGCCAAAACGTTTGCAACGTCCAAAAGGAAACTTCTTGATCAGCAATAAATTCTGTATCGATTTAAGCATTTCCGTCCGTTCGTCCGCGTATGTAATACCCGAAAGTTTTTCTGCGCAGGTTGATATTAAAAATGCGCTACTGTAGTGAGCGTACAAAAATGAAATAAATTGACGATGCCTACCCAATATTTTAGCATTAGTTAAACTAAAATTTAACTGTTTTGTCAATATAAACTGCAAAAAAATATACAAAAACTTCAAGGATAACATTACCGATGGGATGGATTTGAATTAACAAACTCTATAAGAAAATAGAAGGTTTTGAAATAAGAATCAAGAAAATGACAGGGCAATATGTTGTATTCGAGAAAAAAAATCAATAATTTGCCTGCAGAATATGCGAAATTTAAAGTCAAAAATTGGGAATGGGTCGTTGTTTGATTCCACCGTTGATCGAAAAAATGCAAAAAAAGTAAAAAAAAATAACTAAATTTCCATGCCCTGTAACATGAAGTGGGTGCGGTTGACTTTTTCTATTTTCAAAATAAAAGATTTTGTCACACAGGCGTGTGAGCGTTGTAGCCGTGTCCTTCGAAATGTTTATGTCACTTTCAAATTCTTTTACAAATTTGTAGGCGATCTCTTCGTTTTTGCTAACGCAATTGTTTACCACAATTACTATATAGGGGCGTAGACAGATATATGGGCAGACTAATTTGAAACTGTTCAAGAATTTCTATACTTTATGGCGTCTTTGAAGCTTACTTCTGCGCGTTATAATTTTCATTTCTGTTGGTGTACTACAGCATCATTCATAGAGTATGCGTTTAAATTTTTGCATATATTTTCCTGCTACGGTTTATGAGTAATTATTCTATAAAACGGAAGTGTTCTCACTTCTTAAGTGGTACTGTAGGCATGGCAAATTTTTAAATACCAATCTGCATTCAATATTTCTGGCAAATTTGAAATCGATTGCTGGAGGAGAGTGTTTATAACGGACATTTCATCGACGGACAGAAGGACATGTTTTAATCGATTTACAATTTTAGTGCGGATCAAGAATATGTATCAAGAATACTTTGCGAAATCCCTGATATTTCGTTCTTGGCGTTGCAAACGTTTTGACATGAAATGAATACATCCCTCATCCTACGGTGATGGATATAAGAAGCGCCGATAAACTGAATCGATCGGTCTAATAAAAGGTGAGTTTATCTTCAATACTTCTCCATGTTCCGCACTATCTTAATATACCTTGTACCGCAAGCGGTATAGGGTGTAAAAATGTGTTGAAATTGACAAACAAATAATCGCACACACATAATAGCACACAATGTGCAAAGATCGCAAGTTAAATAGAAGCAAGTGCATGCAAAGTAAAAAATGTTCTTTTATTTATTCATTTATTAATTTTTTTTTTTTTTTTTGTGACCTTAAAAACCGCGTGACATGGATAAGCCTCTGAAAGATGGCATACATAAGCGTACATTGTAAACGGAAATATTCCAAGATGAATAAAAATTTCGAACGTTTTCTGTTTAATAACGAAATATAACACTTTCAAACAACAACAACAACGAATGCAAAAAATCATGCATGTCGAGGAATTCTTGCACCATCGATGTATATATTTTTGTTCTTCCATGCAACGGCAGTCAAATATTAACGAAAAAATTAGGAATAAATTTCCATTTATTGTTTTTATTGCAAATTCCATAGATCTATATATAAAAAACAACAAATGAAACCCATAAACGAAATTGTTATTGCCGCGCATAGAAATCTTCATCATATTTGAAGTCACTTTCATCTTTCGAAGCCTCTTTCGTTCCAATAGATGAATTTGACTCGTTGCGATTAGTTGCTAGACATTGAACCTTAGCAATCCCTTTAGCCATACCCTCCGTAATGCTTTCAGTATTTGAAGATAGTATATCGTCAACTTGGGCTGTACTTTTTATATGAATTACTTTAGCGCCATATTGCCTGGCTTTCGCAGCCATAACTTGGCCGTTTTGACAAAATATGTTGGCAAATCCGAGAGCCGTTAATTTTTGCTTTGCATAAACGAATAAGTAGTTCGTATCAGCGTCCATATATTCATAAATTAATATCGAGCCATATTCGGGACGGTCTTTCACCTTTGATTTGTTATTAAGGAAATTTATTTTTAAGCGCAAAGTTTTAAATTTCACTAATAACGAGACCATATTTGGTAAGCAATTTCTTGCATTACGCTGCTCCAATATGCGTACCTCGTGTATATCGTAAGGAGAAAGTGGCATTCCCATTGCCGTAGCCAAAGCTGAAATCACATCAATTAATGGATACCGAATATGATGGGAAGGAAAACGTTTTATCACAACGCTGGTTAGATGAGTACTATCTTTGATGATAGTTTCTTTTTCAGTAGGCTTTCCGTTTTCCTTTTCTATCGGCTTTTGTTCTTGAATATTATTAACAAAATTTGGCGATGGTTCAGTTTTAGTAGCGCCATACTGATCGACCAGACTTTGCAATCTCATTTTGTCAATAGAAAGTTGCATCGAAATTGATATTTCCTTCTGCAATTCTCCGGTGATGTGCCTCAACTTTTGTTCCATAATTTTTAATTGTTGCTTTAATATCGAATCCGATCCACCTACTGACGTCTCCATACACCCCATAGTATCTTTAAGAGTAGAAATTTCTAAAGTCTTTAGTTGAATTTCTTTGTTTTTTCCTTCACATTGCAACAACAAATATTGGTTTTTGTCTTTCAAATTTTTGATAATATCCTCGGCTTCGGTATATTGCTTTTGTAAGGCCATGAAATTATTCTCACTGTCATTGCGTTTAGAGAGCTGGCCTTTTAAGAGATTAATCTCTTCAAAAGCTAAGGTGTACCGCTCTTGCATGTCCAATAAGCAAAATTCAGTTTCATTTAATTGGTCGCTAAGTTTTTCATTTCCAGTTTTATAACTTTCCAGTTTAGCTTGCAATTCGTTCTTCACCGTTTCACCGCCTGCCTTCTCATCGAAATTGAGGAATAGTTTTTGCATGTTCGCATAGCGAGCGCGGCACACTGGACATTCGGTAGATCTGTAATTAATAAACATATTATACATAGATGAACAAATCATCGCCTCATTAATCATAATTCTTAGATCATTGCTCTTATTTACCTTCCACGCCAATCTTGAATGCAATTATGATGGAATACGTGGCCGCAGCTGGTGTTGTGGATCGTGTCCGATGTTTGGAAATTTTCGGTGCAAATAGGACACAAAATTGAAGGTGCTTCCGACATTGCAAATAAACAGCAATTTTAATTTTATTTATTTGTTGCCTTTATTGCGTAAGTTTCTATAGAGCAGACGTGGACGTATTCAAGAATATAGAGAAAAAACTTGAAAATTCGTCTATTTATGTTATCTATTTATTCAAACACACAGTTATGTGTGCAGAGAATTACAGTAATTAAAATATATTGAAATACGTGGTTATGTCACCTGCACCAGTTATGTTATATGAGAATAACTTGGGAGTTCCCCTTGTTCTGATAAAGAATGAACAGTGTTATTCTCTTAAATACATAATGCAACGTGGATGATAGCAGGGTTTACGGTATATTTTAAACACATAATATTTCGTGATTAGAATGGAGATTTTTATTTTTGAATCAAAGGATATAACATTTGCAGGGGAATCGAAATAATTCGATTTAATTAAAAGTATTGAGTGCCGCACGCAAATATTGTTATTTGCGTTGAATGCATAATAAAACTTTACCTACTTTTCAAGGATTTTTATGCCGCAAAATTTTTGCTACGTCTTGCCGGAATTAATAAATCATATGGTCTTTTATGTGAAGTAATAAAATACAAAAACAAAAATTCATGCATATCATATGTTCAAATTTTCGATTAGGAGTTTATATATCTATTGGCTTAGTCCTTCTCCATTCAACATACCAAAAAAAAAAAAAAAAAAGAGAGTTTTTATATGCTTATAAATGATGTTCACATGATGAAGGATTAACTTCCTTCATTAAAAAAGCCTATACATTACACTAATCATTTAAAATCTTCAAGTAGTTTAATTACAAATTTCTATTTCCTTATTACATTGAATATTTGTGTTCTATCATGTCTTCTTCTTCTTTTTTTTGACATCTTTTCGATCTTGCCAGTTGCGAATAATCCGCTTCTTTCATATTTGATTGAATTTGTGGCTTACTCTTTTCATTTGATTTACGCAGCATTGAGCACAATTTCAACTTAAAACAACTAAAAACATTACAGTCGGGCAAGGCCGACCGTTCAATACCTTACACCTATTAAATTGTTTAACACAAATCTTAATTTTGTATGAAATTACGATTCAATTCAGGGTCAACTGTCATCATCACATATTAAAACTTGGGCATTTCTGCTCTACAAAGGATTAATTTTCGCGAAAATGGTCCAAATTGGGTATTGTTAATTTTTTTTATGTTAAATTACTATTATGATATACTCTTTATCGTGAAGCATTGAAAACTCATTTTAGTTTTCGTTATTTGAGGGGACTCAAAAATTGCCCCAGCTTGTCCAAAGTTTTCATATCAATTTAGGATGCTCAAATACTACTACTTAGCGACTTTTGCTGAGTAATTTTGAAAGTTGCAATTTTCCCCAATGGACCAGTCCATTTTCGAACCATTTTAATCGCGCTGGTCCTTGGGTCAACACATGTCA